GCGGGGCAGAAGGCTTCTTAGGAAAGCTTAGAATAATCACCTCGACTCGTCAGTGAACGCTAAAACACGGCTGACCGGGAACGCGGCGGCACGGCTCCAGCCGCCGCGTGGTGCTAGTGTGCGCGTAACTAACGGAGAGACTTCAACGCCTGGCGCCGTCCCGACAGGCTTCCGTTCAACCGCTCGCAGCAGGCTACGTTTTCGTTCCAGATTTTTTTTATTGGTATCCTACGGCTTCAAACATGCCAGGGACCAATAAAATTTAGTAGTGAAGACGATTAAAAAAAATCAAAATTCGACGATACACCCTAGTGGGGACATTGTCCGTTGTTTGCCGCGCAGAGTTGTGCCGTGGTTGTGCCTTTTTCATCCGTTTCTGCTTATGTCATATGTGTGCATGAAGCTTTGATTTTGTTTTTGGTTATTGTGTGGCCGATCAGTCAAACGCCCCTGTAGAAACCGGATGCTGCGTTTGATCGAGATGGAGTCAGACGATGATTGCAGAAAGCTAATAATATTGAAAAGAGGGCCGGTTGCGTGGCATGTCTGTTCAGAGTTGACATTTTGCTTTACTCCAGTTTATGACCTGAGAGCCTGGCTGGAAGTGATGGATCCAAACTTTTCACGTTAAAATGGCTGAGGGTGCGATAATCTCTAGTCTCTACTTAGCGGGCTGGTATAGGAGCGTCTTGCTATGCTGCACCATAGCTGGCTAGTGATTCTCTTTTGGCTAGAAATGGCATTAATCATTATCTCCACTGGCGAAAATGGCACTTGACATCACCGAATGCAACGTTCATGTTGTTAGGATACATAAAATCAGGAAGATTACGCGAATTAGGTAGGCAAACGTGGAATAAAATAGGTGCTGGATATTTTGGTTTTGGTGCTGAATCAGCAAACAGCAAATACGGAGTTCAACTAGACGATCTGGCAACTTTAGGCTGTGTGGAAGCAATTAGGTGCCAGATTCAGATATTAGGGTCGAATAAGCATTTTGGGGCTGATCAGCAATTAGGTGCCAGAAACAGCTTTTTAGGGACCAGAAACAAATATTCCCCAATTATTTTATCGTATTGGCAACAATCATATAGGTAGCATAGGTAGGTACTTATTTCTATGTTCCTTTTGGTGTGCAGTGTTACTGGCCTTTGGCAGGGATGTAGAATTAGATTTCATATATAGTTATTTGGTTAGGTACCTATTGTATAACACATTAGTCTCACACTGGTTCCAAAGGGCTTGTCATGCACAATGCACACTCAGTACTTGAATCATTTAAAATACTTTTTTTGTTCAATGAATTTAAATGATGTACACAATTAAATTCCATTGAGAAATCTGCATGGAAGTATTGATCATTACACATTACCTGATACCTGATTATGACGCATCAGTTCAGTCTCGCAGTGCGCTGGTTCCAAAGGACTTGCCATTTCCAGTGCGGAGTGTAGACTCATTGGTAGGTACCCTTAGGCTAGTAACACTTAATGGTTCAGTGAGTTATTGCCAAAAACGACGCTGTCCTTTTTTATTTATTTAAAATACTGCACAGTTGTCAGTTGCCATTTTGATTTCAACCAATTTATATGATATGCTCCATTAAATTTGGAAAATCTGCATGAAATTCCTGATCACAAAGTAACAATAATATTCACTCATGATTCATGAAGGTTGTACGAGAGGAATTAACTGGTTTAACTGGTGTTCAGGGTTTGTACAGGCTCAAGTTGCAAAACAGGCAAAATTGTAACTAATAAAAGAAAGTTAATTTATAAATGTACAGCAAGCCACTAAACGATCATATCATTTTTTTAGAATGTAGGAACATGGATGAAGTATTCCAATCCATGGTAGGAACATTGAATTGGGGCAAACTCGGCGCGCTGGAATTTTTCACTTGTTCCCTTTTCACATAGTATTTTATTCAGTTATTCTTTAAATAACATATGATGATTTTGCATGGCATCTTTTCTTAGTCAACATTATCTAAAAGGCACCAATTTATCATAAAAACTTACCTCCGGCCAGCCGCGCAATCTAAACGCGCGCCACTTTCGGACGTAAACACCAAGCATGTGATAAACACCGGCGTCTTTGTTTGGCGCGCAACAAAATGACGTCATAGGTCCTAATTGGAATTAAAGCTTGGAATGTCAACTTTGAATGTGAATCAGTGCGATATTTCCCATTAATGACATTTTGGACAGCAAAAATGTCTGGATATTCCATGTATTCATTAACCTGGTTTTGTATCCGCCCTTCTATCAAGGCAAGCCCAGTTGCGTCAGGCGTGGAGTGATTCGTACTTTCGACCTCAAACTTTGTTATTGTTCCGTGACCGTGGCCCTACATATTTGTCTATTCATCAGCATTATTTTTATTCCCGTCTGTCCCTTTTCACAGACGCCCCACCGCCGATCCGAGGGCCCGGTGTCGGCCTCGTCGACGCCGTCGACATCGGCGCGCTCCCCGACATCGGCCGACGGCGAGCACAAGGTCAACGACCCGACCCAGATGCTGCAGCAGGACTGGCGCGAGTTCGAGTGCCGCACCTGGCACCTGGAGCCTACGGTCAGGTGAGCTGACCTTGCTGGAAAAAGCCTGGACGTTGACCGGTCTGTGCGTGGGTATAGATTGTAAATGTCACGGTAAGGGATATTCGGTGTCGGATGGGTAGAAGAGTTGGGGTACCAATGTATTTCTCCCGTGAAAGCCGTGACGATGTCCGTTCTGTCACTACCGCAGGCTGCTGTCATGGGCGGGCCGGCGCATTGAGCCGTACGGTGTGGACTTCATCCTGAACAAGCTGGGCTTCCGCCACGCGCGCAGTACGATCCCCAAGTGGCTGCAGCGCGGCTCCATGGACCCGCTGGACAAGGTGCTGGCTGTGCTCGTGGAGAGGACCGTCCAGGTGACCCGCGAAGGTCACTGACCTGGGCCAGGTCACCCTGCTGAAGGCGCTGATTGGAGGCGAGGGTGTCTTGACCGAAGGAGACAGATGCTACCGTCGTGATGAGCTTTAGAAAACGTTGTGAAATCCGGACTTCAACTGTTGTGGTTCTTCCATTGGACACTGACAGAAGGACAGTGACTTGGTTAAAACGGACGCTAGTTGCGCCGCCGGAGAGTGGAGGGTGGTGCTAGGCTGTGCTGACGACCAACTGAGTTTGATGAAAATAACATTTGTGTCGTCCGGTTCGGCTTCATTCGCCACTGTGATCGGCTCGCGCGACTCGGAGGCAGTGGTATGTTGAATCGCCGCGATATACTTAATTAGTCGTTACGTTTGCAGAGGCTGCTAGTTATTATTGGTGCTTAAAAATTATACCAACCGGAGTCATCATGTGAGGTTGTGATGAGGGGCCGCTCTCCGCGCGCGGCGCCGAATGTGATTGATCTTTTTACGAGATTATACTCGTGTGAGTGTCGCGCACAAGTCCAGTGTACAACGCCAGCCGCCGTGCTGTGCCGTGGTGCGTTCGCTCGCCGCCACCGCGTATGTTTCGCCGCCCGTAGCCGTCCCATGTATGTCCCGTGTCGATCAGTGATCCTATACCAGATTCCCTTGTCGTGACGACTGTGTGTACCGCTAGTGCGCGGCGAAGGCGCTAGGTCGCCGGGCCGGCCTCTCCACTGGTTTTGTGTGTTGTCCGATTGATCTTAATGTCTGTGTCCTGTGACCCGTTCCTGACCTACGTAGGCCGACCGATGCGTCGATATTGAACCTCGCTCGACGTCCGACGCCGGCTCCAGGAGCGAGCGATATTGTGTCTAGTCGCAAACCCTGCTCATCGTGTGTGATTTTGTCAGAGCTGCTAGAGGATAGTGATCGGGATGCTGATAGAAGCTTGGTTGTGGTGTTTGTGGAGCCCGCGCCACTCCGAATGTGCCGTAACAAAGGCACACAACTCACGGCGGGTATGTTTGTCACACGCGGTAATCCGCATCTGCTGTTGTTGAAATGGAAATGTGAACACATATAAACATTATTAACATGCTGTGCCTGGCGGTTTTACGAGGAACGAGTCTGAGTGCAAATGTACCGCCTCCGTCATCCATCTGTCCTCATCATCTTTCAGACAAACCCATCCCGCATCCTCCCTCACGCTCTCTTTCCGGGCTGGCGGTCACCCCACCTGACTGAACCGGTGGATGAGGTCGGGTCCACGCCAGTACCAGTTAAAATCCTCACCCGGTGGTGACCGTTTTGGAGGCAGGCGAGAACTGTCCCAAGTCCCAACGGAGCAATCCGGTCCTTCCGGGGCCAATCCGAGAAGGATGGGGCGCAACCCAATGTCTACGCCCCATCCCATCCTTGTATATCCCAATATCTACCTCCTATCCTAACATCCCATAGCTCTGCAATGGTCTTTTTTAGGCCGAAAGAGCTTCATCTAAACAAAACAAACAAATACCGGTTGGCGCTTGCGTATAGCTACGTAAGTAGGTATATGGTGTTGATTTGGCTCCACACGGGGCCGCGACGAAAGGCACTTCCTGCGAGAACCCATGGGGAGTGATCCAATGCCCAGCAGAGCCATGAATATCGATTCTTTTCTCGAGAATTTTGTGCGGATCTAAGCTCTTCCCCTCACTCCTCTCGGCTCTCTCCTCAGTGGCTGAGCTCCTGGACCTGGTTGCATGGGTTTGACGGAAATTCTACAACCCGAACCAAAATTGATGAGGGGCGGGGAACTCAGACCTCTCAGCTTTCGTGGGACAAAGTTTGTTCTATTATAAAAAATGTATAAATAGAAGATAAAATGGCACATCAATAATCAATCTTATAATAGATAATGCCCTTATGACATAATTTGTTAGGTTTTGGAATTTCGTAGCGGATTTTCTTTTTCTCATTCCTTTTCTCCATCTTTTCTCCCTAAGATATGCATCTAAAAGAGTACCAAAATGATTTGATTGCATTGAAGAGTGTTGATTACATCGTTTAACTATCAAACAAAGCCTTTTTGGTGTGAAAATCTGAAGAAAATCGTTATTAATTCTGGTACTACTTATATTCCGCTGGTCATTGATGTTCGTTGCCGATTTCCTTAAGATCGCAATCAGCTGACTGCGTGGCAGATTGTGTGTTCTTGCGCCCTGCATGTTTTGTACGTCCGCAAATATTTGAAACGGTGAGTTTTGGGTATTTTTTGTAGTAGTTTTCAGTTAATCACTTTTGTCAATTTACAGGTACAGCTCAGCTTCAAGACATAAGTTTTTGATTCGTTTTTTAGGCGCTAGAGCGTGAGTCTATCGTGTTTGGGTGTGCCGGGTGGTGTGAAGCGCGCCATTATGGCCGTATTTTCGCTATCCCGTTTATCAAGGCGTATTTATGCATTTTACAGTCATTTATGACTTAATTGATTTGAGCAGCACCTGAAAATTGCTGATTGTGTCAATTTATTTCAAGTTTCCGCTCAAGGTCAGCGGGGGCTCGGCTGCAGTTATGGAACGGTGATTGGCCGGACGATGCATAATCTTCATTGTCCGAGAGACATCAGGGCCCTGTTTCACCGGTGATAGCAGCACGCTGCTTTTACACGTGTCAAATTGGGTTTCCATGGAAACATCAACAGGCCCATTGCTCCAACACTACCACAAGTGTGACGTCAGCTCGCGCAATTTGATAGCAGCGTGGTAGCAGCGTCCTGTGAAACACCGCCCAGACGTGGGGTAAATCTGTGCTGTGTGCGTCATACTTTGGTTATGTCAATCACTTGGCTCTGCCCACTTTGCCAGCGCCCATGGGCCGAGAGCTGCTGCAGCCTAATCCATGTTCTGTAAAATCAGCATGGGTAGGGGTACCTAGCCTCTAGATCAAGCCAGACCTGGCGCTAACTGCTTATTCAGGGCAGGGCATGTCCCTGACCTATGTCGTCGTCCAGGACTTCAGGAGCCTGTGCAAGTGTATTTTTTAGTTTGCTTAGAGAAAGCAAAGGCTAGTCTGACTCCCTCAATTTGTCAGATGTGTTGACTAGCCTTAATTTCTAATTACAATTTACTTTTTTCAGCATTTTTGTGAACCTAAAACAGCAGCAATGGCCACCCGCAACTGGAATCTGGAGTGCAAGGTGTATGTTGGAAATCTGGGCAACAGTGCTGCCAAGAATGAGATTGAAGATGCCTTCAGCAAGTACGGTAATCTGCGCAATGTGTGGATTGCGCGTAACCCGCCCGGCTTTGCGTTTGTGGAGTTTGAGGACCCACGGGATGCTGAGGACGCTGTGCGAGGACTGGACGGAACGTGAGTGCCTGACTGTCACATAGGTTATTGTTGTGACTTCCTGTGTCATGTGGGTTATATGAATCTGGGGACAAAGCTGATAAGGCTTTGCGAATTTATACAGCTCTGCTTCTCTGAGTCTTGTATATTGTACGTTATGTGTGTAACTATTTTGAGTTCTCTATTTATGTTTGCGTAATCTGATCATCTCTGGCGGTTTACAGCCGACTGTGCGGCGAGCGGGTCCGTGTGGAGATGTCTTCCGGCAAGAGCCGCAGCCGCGGCGGTATGCGCGGCGGCGGCGGCGGCTACGGCGGTGGTGGTTTCGGCGGCAGGAGGTGAGTGCTGACAGAGCTGGCTGCCGTCGGTCGGTCCGTGAATGGCGTGTGTGGACGGGAGAGAGACGAGAGCTGGTTACCGAGACACGGAGAGAGTAGTGTGCGAGTGTCGGACCTGGCCGAGCCGTCTCAAGTGTGTCGCTGTGCTGTGTTGAGGACGTGGTGCCGGCTGAAAGTCTGACGCCACATTGTCGTCTTACAGATTTCCATCACACCACCACCCCTTGCCTCCGTCCATCACACTTCACGGCCTAGCGTGGGTCACGTGACGCGGTCAGGTGACCCCTGACCCGCGACGTGACCCGGCCCATCAAGGGACTCTCGGCTCACCCCCATCTTGCGTCTCACACATCGCCTCTTCGCGTCGTGTCACTCGTTTGCGTTAATGGCCGCATTAGCTACGTACTTGCTTCGTGGGCCCACCATTCTCCGCTCCTCTGCGCTTCGCTCCCTCCGCTTATGTCGAAGCAAGTAAGTGAGCACACCACCAGCGACGTAGATGGGGATGCTCAATATCGTTCGATCAATTCTCAGGTTATACTGCATAAACAGTTCTAATTATTCAAATGTTATATTTTATTTTCGATGTTATAATTTATAATCATGCTATTATTCATATTGACGCAGATGGAGCGGATTTCTATGACCAATCATTCTCTTTCTGACAGGATAAATGTGACGTAAAGGAGCTGAGTATAACATATATCGAAACGCTGTGTTTCGTTAACTTTCCACCCTTTCAGAGATATCGGTGCCTTTTCCGTTCATGGGACGGGGCCCGGTGCCAGGAGGCAGACTGGTTCCATGTTAAAACGGTCAGTGAGCCAGTGCTCCGGTCCATACCGGAGCCGTGTGTGTATGTCTGTGTGCGCTGTCTGACACTGTGCCGTGTGCGTGTGTTGGTGCAGGTCGCCGGGCCGCCGCTCCATCTCGCCGCGGCGCCGGTCACGCAGCCGCAGCCCGCGTGGTTCGCCCGTCTACGACCGCTACAGGAGGTGAGTGACGATGGCAGACCGGGGCGCGGCGGACGAGAATGGTTTGTTCGCCGGTAGTTAATTGGTTGTCCGTTTGGGTTGGGCGGAATGTATGTTATGTGGTGCGTGGCTTATGATAATTAAATTCTACTTTGATATAACCTCTTTGGGCTCTCTGCGCTGTGTGTTGGGCGTTTTGAAAAGTCTGGGTCTGTAGGTAGTGTGATTGGTAATGGAATGTTGACTGTTAAGCAGCTTGGCCTCAGCCAATGAATTGCAAACTAGTTGCAACCAATAACACATGGCCGAATTTTGGATGGATGGCAAGTCTGGTTTTGGGTGTGGCAGCTTGTGTGTCATATGCAATGCATGTCCATTTATCATGTAAGTTTGTTCACTGTGCCAATTTCTCTCCCGGACCATGGCAGCTAAGCGTTGCCGCTCACAAGCTGCCACCTGGGATGGCGCCATCCACGACTTCACTTCAGAACCTTGGTACAAACTTGGTCCAGTCGCTGATGCCCACTGATGCAAATGTTGTCGCACGCAGATATTAACCGTCTGGTTATTGAGACAACCGCTAAAATATCTCGACTCTTGGTTATTTTTAATGTAGCTCTTCTTGGTCCTTCCAATTTGCCATCCATCCCTTTATGCATGGTGCTTTCCCTAGATTGGTAGTCATTTACGTTTTTGCGCAAATTTTTTATTTGGTAGCTTCACAGACAACGGTTTTCGCTAGTCATTCCGCGTTTCTGTTTTTTTTTTTCGTCGAGGCTAGGCATTGCCTGTAAAGCGTGTTGTTTTTTTTTCTTAATTTTACTGGCGCTTTTTTGTGTGTGCTTGTAACTGCCTCATCGCTTGATGTGTTCGCGTTCACACGTTGTGCTGTGTCGGCCCTGATCGCTGCCCTGCTCCGCTCAGAAGCCGGTGAGAGGCAGCTGTGTGCGCCCGCCCTCTGTCCGTCTCCTCCCTCTGACCGACCCCTCTCCCTCTGTCCCCCGGCAGGTCCAGGAGCCGCGACTGAAGAGGTCCGCCACCACCGACACTGACCGCTGTTGTCACCGTTTGACGCCCCCGGATGACGCCGGCACCCCCCTTACCCCTCCCCAGCGCCGCCCATATTCCCCCTCGCTTCTGAATCGTGCGCGCTCAGAGGCCGGCCACGAGCCCTGCAGAATATCAGCTGTCTATGATCTGGCTGGTGGTGTAATTTGCATGACTGAGGAGTTCAGCTCACGGTAGCGGTTTGTGGCATTCCATTATTTCATCTGAGTTCGTGACGTCGGTGTGTAAACGTCAGAAATACACGTCATCTTCCGAATGCTGTGTTTGCGTGTGGGAAGTTGATCGGTCCAGCCTCCGATGTAGTGGATATAGCCTGTCGGCTAATTTCACTCAAATGAAGACGCGTGAATAACGTACATCTGTAAGCATTATTGAATTGGACGTATGCTTTCCTCGATAAGTTGGTTCGAGTATAGACTACAATACTGTGCCGTCGAAGTTTTCCGTATTTAGTTGCATTTGAATGTCGACTTACCACAAAATAGACCAGTTTGGTGGAATGACATGAGAGCTCATTGTGAACTATTGCATGATGCTACTACGAAGTACGAGTACGGTTAGCTGAGAGCTACTTGCTGTGTGCTGGAGGTGTGCAGTAACCGTTTTATTTCCAGTAGCCCATCCCAGCGAACCCGTGCCCGTCCCCCTCAGCATATGCCGGCAGGCCTGGCCGCCGACCCGCGGAAGGGGTCGGTGGTCGCTGGGTGCCGCTTTTGCGGTGATTGCCGCCCACTGGAGTGCGAGGCGGCACAGGTGGAAGCAGAAGCGGAAGGTTGACCTCAGACGGCAAGAGCCCTGTTTCACGGCACTGCGCTACACTACAGCGCGCTACGGGTATCGGTGTATTGGGTTTCCATGGAAACGTCAGCAAACTCGGACGCTCGCAAGTCGCAACTTACTTGTACTTGTACTTGTACTTGTTGGGTTAGGGCGCATAGCCTCGTTGGGCTCAAGCGTCCGTAGTTGTTGTCATCAGTGCGCCATTCTTGTCTCGATCGAGTAGATGTTGCAATCGGTTGCAGCCAGATGGTGCAGAGGGAAACTAAGCAGATGAAGGAAAATGATAGGTTTAGCATGGGATGGCATGGGGATGTATGCGCGGGCTTCGGATATGTCCAGGCAGGAAATGTCCGGTGAAGTATATTAGTAACGGTTAGTTTCTAACATATAACTGATTAAAAACTTAAAAATAGAAACAAAAAGGATGGTTTCTGGTTATGAGTCATTCAATCATAACGCTCTTGACCTCGCATCTGTCCAGCGAGCCATTCAGTTCAAAAGGATCTTCAGGCACGAGTCTGCTCTTGGTACCTCACTCAGTTATCAACTTGCGTTGGAGGGTTCATGTCTCATGATCATACCGATCATAACGAGCCTCAACTTCGGAACTATGCGACTACTTCTACAAAAGAAGGGACCGGATGGTACAAAAAAGATTAACGAAGGTATACATCCAAGAGAAATATAGAAAAAGAAACTACAGTAGCAAACCAGTACAGGCTGCTCTTCATTCATCCACTAACTGCATCCATCTCTCACACCGATGCATCTCCACTCCCGCATCCTTCTCATTCAACATTCAATCTCCATTCATCCAATCATTTCCACACAATGCACGACTGTTACACACATGAGGACGTCCACAGAGCAGTCGCAGCACATAACACAAAACACCAGAGAGACGATAAAGTAAACAATCAACACAAATTACAAAAGCAGGAGATCGCATCAATGTGCCAGATCGACGGCCATGCCCTCCGCATCAGTCGCGACGGGGTTCGCCAATCGGCAGGTAGACTAACATAATCCAATAATTGCACATGATAGCTTCAAACACAAATAATCACAGCTAGTTCATCGCAGATCATCGCAGTCACAGCTTTTTGAAGAGATTGGTAGCACGTAGGAACCTGAAAACCTCGTCAGTGATGTCCGGGTGTTGATCACCCAGAAGAGTTTTCAGGGTAAGTGGTACATCCAATTGAAGGCACTTCTGAACAATCGATTGTCGGTGAGTAGCATACACTGGGCACTCCACAAGTATATGTTTAACTGACTGGGGACACAAACATCGGTTACATTCAGGCCTGGGGTCTCTATCTATTATATGTCCGTGAGTGAATCGTGTATGTCCTATTCGCATGCGACATAACAAGATTTCCTCCCTGCGACTGGCGCGTTTACAAGATGACCATGATCCAACTTCATCCTTTATCAACTGTTAGTGCCTGTTGGCATCAAATGGCTTTGGTGATTCGATACGATATCAACTTAATCGTAATTTAACATGTATTTTAACCTCGCAAGTGATTTCCATGTCAATACACCGTCATGATTTACTAATCACTTTTCATTTCGTTTCGTTATTCTTCTGATTTCTTCGTTTTACTTCGCGGTTCTTAGTGTTTCTTCATTTGTTTCGTTTCCTATATTATATTTATCGTTTCGAGGTTTGCCATTCAAGCCATTTCAAAAATTTTCTTTCTCTCCTTTTTGTCTCTCGAGTCTACCTAAATTCGTTAAACTTGTCATTTAAATTTTCACGAGCGGTTATCGCTGCAAAGCCGTCGGGCCCTGGATTTTATGCAATTGTGACTCTTGGTTTTGCTGCACCAACACCCTCCCCTTGAAACATCTATGAGGTTTCAACAACTTCTTGTTTGTATCTTCACAAGCTTCGTCACTGGGCGCTCGAAGGTCGTGCCCCTGACCTTCAGCTTGACGGTACGAACCAGCCCATCGGCGCTGTGCTTCACCCCTAACACTCTACCTAGCGGCCACTGGCCTCGAGGTACATCATCATCTACAAGCAGCACCACATCGCCCACTCCAACATTTGGCCTATCTTTAGCTGTCTCACTGGGTCTTTCTTGTAGTAACGGCAAGTACTCTGTTCGCCAGCGTGTCCAAAACATACTAGCGTAATACGCAGCCTGTTTCCACCGTTTACGACTATCGCAGTCAGACCTATCAAATAAGTTGGTGGGGACTAAATCATACCCATTGCCAGCGAGCAGAATGTGGTTAGGGGTAAGTGGTGGAATGTCACATGAGTCGGCTGAAACTGGCGTCAATGGTCTGTTGTTTATGATGGATTCGACCTCGCACATAATCGTCTGCAACGTTTCATCCTTCATCGCTCCATTGATCACGGTCTCGAGAAGTCTCCGGATCGTTCTAATTTGCCTTTCCCACGCACCTCCATGATGGGACGCTCCTCCCACATTGTATATCCAGTCGATTTCCATTGTCAGCGCCTTGTAGTGGATCCAGTCTTCGTTTTGCTCTTGTCTGTGCAGTTCTCGCTGTAACTCATTATTGGCTCCCACAAAGTTTGTGCCCCTATCCGAACGTAAAACCTTGACGTGACCTCTCCTGCAAACAAATCTTTTTAGGGCGCAAATAAAAGAGTCGGCAGACAGATCATCAGCTACTTCAAGGTGCACGGCTCGTATGGATAAACAGGTAAAGAGCACGCCATAACGCTTAATCTGGCCCCGACCATGTCGCACATAAAATGGCCCAAAGTAGTCGACACCCGTTCTTGTGAATGCCTTTTCCAAAGCCATTACCCTGTCTTCTGGCAAGTTTGCGCATTTTTGCACTTCAACTGGATGAAATTTCTTCTGGCAGAATACGCACGATTTCAACATCCTTCTAACCGTGGCATTCGCTTTGAGAATCCAAAAGTTCTTCCGCAAATCAGCAAGAACATGCTGCCTACCAGCGTGCCCAGAAAGTCTATGAGTGTCGTGCACAAGCATCTCAGTGTAACTGCTGCGAGAAGGCAAAATGACCGGGTGTTTAGCGTTGTAGGTCAGGTCAGCGTTCTGCAAACGTCCTCCAACTCGCAACAATCCATTTTTGAGGAATGGATCCAACTTGTGCAGGGTGCTTGATGCACGGACATGATTTCCCGCGCGAAGTTGAGTAAAGTCTTGAACAAATGCGTTAGTCTGAACATATCTGATGATTTCTTCCTCAGCTATCGTAAGATCCGAGTTCGTTAAGCGTGAGGAGGGGCCCTCCCCGTGTACAATGCGCGATTTTAGAAGCTTCTTTACCTTGAGGATCCAAGCTACCGCACGAATGAGCCTTCTTCGATCGCTGTAATGCTTGAGAAGCTTTTCAATCGGGTCACTTAATGTATGTTTCACGTTTGTTTCGTCCCTCAGAAGATCATTGCTCACACCAATAGAACTCACTAAAACTTTAAGTTCTGGGTCGTCTTCCTTTAACTCCAGTAGAGCTGAAGGTTTTTTGGGCCAGTCCTTTCTCGACTTCCACAAGAATTCTGGTCCTGTCAACCACCGATCACTTTGTTCACCCCTTGAAACATCATCGGCGGGGTTTAGAGCACTTGGTACGAACATCCACTGCTCTTGAGTAGACCCGTCGTGGATAATAGCTAACCTGTTAGCCACGAAGGTGTGGAATCGTGTTTTCCTGTTCGAGATATAGCGCAAGACTGTCGTGCTATCCGTCCAGAATAGCTCCTGAGTGACCTTACAAGGTGACCCTGCATAAATAATCGCATCAGAGAGTAATGCACTGATTCTTACAGCCGTGACGGCCGCCATCAACTCGAGACGGGGGATGGTCACAGTCTTCAGTGGAGCTAAATGTGCCTTTCCCTTCAGAAATGAGCAATGGATATTCCCCGCTGTATCAACAATACGGACGTAAGAGACAGTGCCATATGCCCACTCGCTGGCATCAGCGAAGTGATGCAGCTCGCACGATACGATGCTTCCAAAAGTTGTTGGCTTAATGCAGCGCGGGATCGATATGAGACTTGTTTTAGAAACATTCATCAGCCATGCTACCCACCTTTTCTGCTCTTCTTCCGGGATTTCCCCATCCCAGTTAACCTGTTTTCTGGCAAGATCTTGGAGGATTCTTTTTCCTTGTAGAATAGTCGGGGCAATCATGCCCAACGGATCATAGAGTGAGCTGACAGCGGACAATAGGCCTCGCCTGGTCTTTGACCTTGAAGTGAGACTCGACATGTCTAAGGAAACAGACAAATCATCTTCCTCAGTTTTCCATATTATACCAAGTGCCAGTTCATCGGGGTGATGCTCATTTTCAATCAAAGCTTTTCTAAGTTTCTTGGACCTGTCATCCGATGCGATAGAATTGACCACCGTCCGGCTGTTGCTCGAGAATTTTGTAAGATTAAAGCCACCCTTGCTACATAACTCCTTGAGCTCATGAGCTAGACCAATAGCTGTCTGCTCGTCGGGAGATGACTTCAGTACATCATCAACATAAAAATTGTGTCGTATTGTGCTTACGACTTCTTCGGAAAAATGAGTTTTGTTATCTTCGGCTGTTCGCCTGAGTGCATAGCAAGCAACGGCAGGAGACGACTTGGCGCCAAAAATATGCACCTTCATTCTGAACTGTTGTAATTCGTTTGACGTGTTTCCATCTCGCCACCAGAGGAACCTGAGTAAATCTCTGTCTGACTCGTGAACATTTACTTGATTAAACATGCCCTCTATGTCAGCTATAAAGGCGATTGGCTCTAATCGGAAACGTAGAAGCACATCTAGAAGTGTGTTGGTTTGGTCTGGGCCCTGAAGCAAGCAATCGTTCAGTGATATGCCCTGAAATTGAGCGGCACAGTCAAAAACCACCCGTATTTTGTCGGGTTTGTGCGAGTGATAAACGGCATGGTGAGGCAGGTACCACACCCTACCATCGTTTCTATTTTCACTTCCTTCTGGAACACGTTCTGCAAATCCTTTCTGTATCATTGTGTCCACATACGACATGTTATCGAAAGCGAACAGTTTCTTTCTTTCCAATCTGAATTTTAACTTGTTTAACCGCGATCTTGCAATTGAGATATTGTTCGGTAAAACCAAACTTTCTTCAGTCAGTGGTAAAGTAATACTGTAGTGATGGCCGTCATGTTCAATCGAAGTATTGACTCTTTGGAGCCACAACCGATCTTCTGCAGACAAACCTCTCCTGGTACAGTGAAGGCTTTCTTCATATTCGTGGTTGTATAGAGATTTTACCATTTCTTCTAGCGTTGTGCTCGCGGTTACGTTTGTCTTGAAGATCGCGGTGTTTGCCGTCTGACCTTCCGTCTGATTTATTCCACATACTATCCATCCAAATCTTGTGAGTATTGCATACGGACTGTTATTTATGCTTGGTATAACCCTCAGTGGTTCCATTGCTAAATATGCATTGGCTCCCAATAACAAACCGACTTCTGATACATTAGAATCTGGGAGATCAATGCCTCGTAAGTGTTCCCACCTTTCAACATCTGCAACCTTAGGGAAATGACCAGAGTCAACGGGAATACTTGGCAGAGTGTAGAGGGGTGGCAGCTGCAAAGTATTGAAGCCCTGGAGGTCAGTAATGGACAACCCCTCTGCTATCTGAGTCGGGATAGAAGCGGCACCATGCACCGTGGTCAGCGACAGCTGCCGACCGGGACGGTGCTCCATACCGAGCAGGCGCAATAATGACGTCGCTATAAACGAATGCGTTGAACCACTGTCTAGGAAGGCGTATGTAGTGTATTGTCCCGAAGAGCTTTTGATCTTCACAGCCACCAACGGCAGCATAGCACCCCTTTTGAGTTCGTCTGCTGCGACACGGCAAGTGGTCGCATTGGCTGTGTTTGTATCCTCTGGCAAAGGCGGCTGTTTAAGCAGCGTTTGCCGATCTTCTAAAGTGCGATCATGCAGCGCCGTCGGATGATTTCGGTTACATAGCTGGCAGCTCACTGGTCTGCGACAAAATGAACGTCTATGGCCTCTACGGAGGCACCCAAAGCATAAAGCATTTTTCATCACAAATTGTTTTCTCTCTTCAAATGGGACGCTGTTCAGCCTGTTACACTCCGTAACATTATGCGTTTTCTCCCCGCAAAACAGACACCCGCTGTCATTCTGAGACTGGGTGCGCGTCGCCGCAACTAAAGGTTTCTGATAACTTTGGGAAAATAATTCCCCTTCGTTCTGCTTTGCACTTGCTCCTTCACGGCTGCTATACATATGTTGTCCAAACGAAGCGTTTGTGGCTATTCTGGCTTCTCGTGCTACAAATTCAACCAGGTCTTCGAAGACTGCTGGCCGCCCCTGATACTCTTCCAAATCGTCTACACGACGTCGCCATCTACTCAGGAGTGGTACCGGTAGCTTCCTTGTAATAGTACGCAGGGTTCGAGGATCATTCATGAAGCTGCACGAGCTTCCTAGTGCATTCTTACAACTGAGGAGCAACAACGAGAACTGGTCCAGCTCTTCTCCATTTTCTGCATTGAGCTGTTCCTGGCTACTTATTCTATCAATAAAGGCAGCTGCGATTGTGCTAGGCTGGCCATACCTCTTGTGCAAAATCTGCATCGCATGTTGATACCCGTCTTCAAGATACATGCAGCTCTCAACAATACTGTGCGGCTTACTTCCCGGAATTATGTTTTGTTCCAGGTAATATAACTTTTCACTGTCATCATCCAATTTAGAAGCGATCTTCATTTCGAAACATCGAATAAACTGAGCGAACTGAGTGGTATCACCCCCAAATTTCTTGATTTCGATCGGAGGCAGACGCATCAACGCTGCCGTCCTTTCTCTTTCGGTTATTAAAGCAGCAGATGTGCCTTCATGAGCGCGGCGACTAAACGCGGGTGGTGCTTGCTGAGATATATCCGGCCGCAAGTTTGGGACGTACTGGAGTGTAGGGTTAGCGTGAGAGTGAGAGATGCGAGGAGTTTCCGTCTCATGTGAGGGTAACGAATGAAAGCTCGCTGGTAATGGGCTTACATCATCATCATTTCTATACGTCTTTAACGCCTGCTCTCTAGCAGTTAATTCATTTAAAGTCGCCTGAATTTCCAGCAGCTCCTGTCCACGTCTAAGTTCAGCGATTTGACTCTCAATGAGCTGTTTTTCTTTTAAGGACTTTAATCTTTCGATGAGAGCGGCTCTATCGGCTGCCTCCTCTGCGCGCCTTAACTCAGACTTAACATTGGAAGGAGACACAGAAGCAGACGGGGACTCAACACGGGACACACTGTCATCGGGATGAACTGCACTATTTTCCAAACATGGCTCGGCATCTAACGTATTCCGCGCTCCTAGCACATTTACCAATCTATTTACAAGCGTGGCCTTGTTTCCTTTACAGCTAAGACCGCGTGCCTTCAGCATCATTTTAAGTTCAGACACTTTCAAATTCTCCATTGTCTCGTAACGGTACGCTAAGAAACTAGGGTGAAGCACAGGCCAACGGGTGTCCAAGTTATGCAGTTGATGCCGTTGATTTAGTTGCCAGGGATTATAATTGCTGTGTAGACCTTACCTCGATAGCAGGTTTGACAACTTTTGTATGAATTCGAATTAGCAATAGCAGCGTGCTATTAATCTTCTTGACAATTCTTCAAACAATTCTTCTTGACGGAACAACACCAGGCTCAAATAATATCGGGAGTAATGATAGCTTCAATGTAGACTCAGCTGAGCCTAAAACTGTGAATATTCGACTTTCAGTTCTTGATAACATTTATTCTTGCATTGCACTATTGTTGATATAGACACCTCGAAACTGTTAGTGCCTGTTGGCATCAAATGGCTTTGGTGATTCGATACGATATCAACTTAATCGTAATTTAACATGTATTTTAACCTCGCAAGTGATTTCCATGTCAATACACCGTCATGATTTACTAATCACTTTTCATTTCGTTTCGTTATTCTTCTGATTTCTTCGTTTTACTTCGCGGTTCTTAGTGTTTCTTCATTTGTTTCGTTTCCTATATTATATTTATCGTTTCGAGGTTTGCCATTCAAGCCATTTCAAAAATTTTCTTTCTCTCCTTTTTGTCTCTCGAGTCTACCTAAATTCGTTAAACTTGTCATTTAAATTTTCACGAGCGGTTATCGCTGCAAAGCCGTCGGGCCCTGGATTTTATGCAATTGTGACTCTTGGTTTTGCTGCACCAACATCAACTTCAAGTTGGTGTTTGAGTTATACTGCTGCCAGCACTGATTGAACAGGCGACGGACAGACAACCCAATATCGGGATAGTGCTCTTTGGGACCCATTTCAAGGACTACTATTTGATCCAGCGAGATAGCCTCCCTGGCCTGACGGTCAGCTAGCTCGTTCCCAGTGATGCTGCAGTGTCCAGGGATCCACAAAATAACAAGTTCGCGATCAGACAAAGTAATCAATCGATGACAGGTCTCTAAAATCTTCATGATAGTAGGATGGGAAGTGACCGGCCCACGAAGAGCAGTCAGCACGGACAGGGAGTCCGTGCAAATGACACATCTCATGATACCACTTTCCTCCACAAATAACAGTGCCCGTAGTATAGCGAATGCTTCCGCCGTAAATACAGAGCAGTTATTTGGCAGCTTAAACCTTTCACGTCGGTTTCCAAGTACATACGCACATCCAACACCATCATGGTTCTTTGATCCATCAGTAAAGCAGAAAGAGAACGTTGCATATCTCTCTCTGAGGTCATTAAACTGACATTGCACTTCAATATCAGATAAGTTTGCTTTTCTCTCATTTGTTAGTCGAATCAGATCACATTTCTGCAAGTGCCAAGGCGGGATGGTACCAGATAAGGACGTCAATTCGTTCGGCATATCAAAGTTTGCCTCAGCGCATATAGCCGAGAGCCTCTCATACACAGGGAAGCCTGCGATTCGCTTCAAATAATCACTATCAATGGCAGGCAGCGATGCACCGCGTGATATCAATTCAAGACATGGATGGTTGGGGTCACTCTTCACTCTCAAGCAGTACCGTAAGGTCAAATCGCACCGTCTTAATCTCAGAGGGGGTACGTCTGCTTCCACCATCAGAGGTAGTATGGGGGAGGTTCTAAGCGCGCCCGTAGCAATCCTCACGCATGCATTCTGGATGCTATCAAGCGACTCAACTGTTTTGTTTCGTGGACCATCCAGTATCTGGCATGCATAATCAAGTATTGGCCGTATCATTGATTTGTAAATTCGCAAAAGTATCGTTCTATCCGCTCCACAGTTCCCTCCGGCCAAACATCTTAGGATTGATATACGTTTAGTTGCCTTTCCCTTCACATATTTAATATGTTTGCTCAAATTCAGTCTCGTGTCGAGCAAAACCCCGAGAAACTTGACCTCCTCGGAGTAGCTCAAGTGCTCGTTGTAAAGTCTCAATCGGGGCACAGTGGCTAATTCCCTTGCTTTCATATATCGTCTGAATATAATGGCATTGCATTTGTGCGGTGAAAAAACAAAGCCCCATCTGTCAGCCCATGAACTAACATGGTCGAGAGCTAACTGCATTCGGTCAACTAATTGTGCAATTCTCCTTCCTTGCACCCACATGGTACAATCGTCAGCGTACAGCGCACATGTTGGGTTTCCGGGGACTCCATCAAATATGTCGTTTATCATGATGTTAAACAACACCGGAGAAATTACACCACCCTGTACCAAGCCATTGTCCTGTTCAAATGTATCGGAGAGGCAGCCATTTCTGACTTGAAAGGTTCGGTTATCAAGGTAGGATCGAATGAAGTGCATCATTCGCCCTCTGAAACCAAGTGCGTGCATCTTGGTCAGCAGGGCCGCCGTCGAAATAAGATTATACGCATTCTTAAAATCCAAGAATACAGCTAAAGTATACCGGTTGTAAAAGAAGCCCTGTCTAACATTGGACTCCAGTCGTAGTAAATGATCAGCTGTGCTCCGTCCCTTCCGAAATCCGCATTGAGTGGCTGAAAGCATTCCTCCGTTTTCAATAAACCACGCCAGCCGTCTGGTAACCATTCGTTCCATGACCTTACTGAAGCATGATGTAAGCTGTATAGGTCGGTAAGATTCGGGTTGGTGACTTGGCTTCCCGGGTTTAAGGATCGGCACCATAATGGAATGTTTCCAAGTGTCGGGAAGACGCTCTGAAAGCCAAATGTAATTAATCAGCTTTAGGATCTGTGTCAATTGCTCATCATTAAGTTGCTTAAAAAACATGTAGTGAATCTTATCAGGCCCAACAGAGGTATTTCCACAATGGGAAACTGACCATCTCAATTCATCAATAGTAAACATGTCATTGTAGCACTCGTCGTTGTCGCTCGCAAACGATGGAAGCTGTTCGAGCAAAACACTCTCTCTTTCCCTAAAGGCAGCTCTATAATTAATGGACGCCGACATCCCCGAGAAGAAATTCCCGAGCACGTCAGCGACTTCTTTGGGATCGTCTGTCATATTGCCATTGATGCATAATACGGGCAATGGCCGCTGGTAGCGCTCCTTCTTTGTAAAACGCCGTATTATGTCCCATAGTTGTCGCATAGGGGTGGTATGTTTGAACATATGTAGCAGTTTCTCCCAAGAGTCCCGTTTTGCCTGTCTAATAATTCGCCTTGCTCTTGCTTTAGCAGCTTTATATTCCATGAGGTGTAAAGTTTGGTGGCTACGACGAAACCGGTTGAGTGCTCGTCGCCGACTACGAATCGCCTCTTTACATTCCTCAGTCCACCATGGACAAGTGTACTTTGAGTTGTTCCGTTTCATAGGTACGCTATCCTCCGCAGCCCTCAGTAAGGCTTCGCTCATAGCTGTGCAGTTTTCCATTCCTATTCCTTCACAAAATCGTAAGTCGCACTTCTCAGTAAATTCAGACCAGTTGGCCTTATTAGTATTCCATCCCGTGAAATCTGTGTTCCGACAGGTGTCAGTTCCAGGCAGATCAAATGTTATGTATATTGGGCAATGATCACTGGAATATAGATCAGGGTCGGTACACCATTGCAAGTACTGACCTATATTACCCGTGCTCAATGTTAAATCATTATGGGACCATAGTCCAGAGTATTCATCGAGCCGTGTCGGGCTGCCATCGTTAAGAATATTCAGTGCGTGTTGACGAATAACTCGTTCCCATATGACTCCTCTCTGGTCACAACGATCTGCGCCCCACATGTAATGTCGGCTGTTAGCGTCTGTACATATAATAAAAGGTTGTGGCAGCTGGCTCACCAGACCACTGAGAACCTGCTGCGAAAGACGCTCGTTCGGCGGAAGGTACAACGAACAAATACACAGCCGACATCTGCCAGTTGGGACCGATATTGCAACAGCTTGTAGACAAGTATTCAGATTTATCTGACAATGGGGATGTTTATTATTAACATAAATACTGACTCCTCCCTGTCTCCTGTCCGTATTGGGAAATGCGTTATAAAGAGTGTAATTATTAAGGCGGAAGTCATAAGGATCATTAGGGAGAAAATGTGACTCTTGGATGCAAATCACATCTTTGCCTTTTTCCAGTAGCACAGGTTTAATCTCCGGCCATTTTCCAATCATTCCACGAGCATTCCATTGCATGATGGTAAAACTCCTCACACTATTAACCATAACGCTGTTTCTAACTAACTATTCGACGGAAAAGTACCCAGCACGGTCAAGGTCACCTTTGCGCTCGTTCTCGGCTCTGAGGTCGGGCTCACGCCGCGCCCCAGGACCGGGCCCACGCCTAGCCCCGGGGCCGGCCCGCCGACCTCGCGATAACATCGGGTCACGTGACCTGCCCCACTGCCCCGGGCGCCGGTCGAACCATCCCGGCTCCGACAGAACACGCCCGTTTCATCAGCCCCGCCGCCAAACCGACCCAAAAAAGGATCGCCTGGCAGACTGACGACGACCACCACAAAATCAAATATAACACATGAGATACTGAAACCAGACACCAGATGCAAATCAGGATAAGGAAATAAATAATACATAATCTGGGTACCGACTAAAACCTGCGACAAACGCAGGCAACTGTAATCACTGGAAATAATTGTTCGATATTTGCCAGAAAAAACCACAAACACAGAAATGATGCTTTTGCTGGGTATTGTCTAAGAGTTGGGGGGATGGGAATTGTTTTGCCAACACTGTTTGGATGAAGGAAGTCGCGAAGCACTGTGGGCCCGCTGCATTGGTTTGAGCCGACCACGTTCACCTCGCCCTGGGGCTCGAGTGAATCGAGTCAGCTCGGGGGACGGCGAAATCTCGTCATCCCCAGTCAGTGCTGGAAGGACAGGCATGTTGCCTCCCTTCTTTCCCTTGCCCTTCCTCACAGTTTGCCACTTCCCAATCTCCTTGTCAAAGCCAGTCACTGGTCTTTCATCTGAGTCGACATCACCATGTTTTTGAACCTCCATAGAATCACTCTCTGTCTCTATGCATGAAATCTCACCACTACTCTCTACACCCTGTGCACCGCTGTCAGTGATGCAGGCAGGCTCTGTCTCCTTGTCTGTGCCTTTGGGATCCAATTGTTTGCCCAGAACCTGCTTGAGCAAACCCACCAGCTCTGTCACTGCATCTTCAAGCTTACCCACCCTGGTTTTCAGTTCCTCCTCCTGTGGGGATGAGCTCTGTGGTACCTTAAGGACCTCAGAATATGATTTTGGACTCTGTTTCTGTGCTTGTTCCTCAAATTTTTTCCTCGCCTCCCCAAAGGAAATGTCTTGTTCTACTTTCATTCTACATATTGCCCTCTCTTTGACCCATATCTCACACCTCCTATCCTGACAGGAGTGGCCACTCTTGCCACAGTTGATGCACTTTGGAGTGCACTCTCCCTCATGACTCGGTTCCCCACAGACAAGACACACACGATCATCCTTGCATGTCGTTTCAGAATGGCCAAATTTACCACATTTGTAACACATCATTGGATTTGGGATGTACTGGTCAACTTTGTAAGTGACATAGTCCAAAGAAATCCTAGAAGGGCAGGTGGGGGTATCAAAAGTTAGAAGGAGTGTTGCTGTCCTTTCAGTGCGCCCATTGACCTTCCTTGTGAACCTTTTGACCTTTGTGACACCAAACTCTTTCAACCACCCAGCTACTTCCTCCTCAGACAGTTCCATCAGGTCGTGGGCCCGCACGATACCCCGGGAGGTGTTGAGCCGTTCATCCCTGATCACCTGACACTCCTCACCTGCAAACATTTGAACTTTCAGAAGCTTGGAAGTCTGAGACTCATTTTTTGTCCTCATCAGCAGCCCACCATCAGCCAAGAGGCTAGCTTTAGCCAACCTATCATCAGGTCCCAGTATCCCTCTGATTCCGAGCTGAACCCAAGGCCATCCCTTTGATTTAAATGAAACATCAGATAACAACTTTACCTTCAAGAAAGACCCTGTGTTGTTGGACTCTCCTCCGCCAAAGAAAAACTCGTCAGGTCGCACCCGCTTTACGGGCCGCCTCCGATCCATCACTGCATCACCTCTTACTTCAAAGAAAGAACTTGCCTTGCAAACAAAACAGAAAATAGAAACCACTGAACCCAAACTCCAACACCCTCAGTAACGCGCGAGAGATCGCAGCTAAACTCGAGCTCCTCCTCCGCCGACGTCTCGCACACGAATGCAAGTCGCAACGTGCTGGAGCGTCGAGGCGAATTCGTCTCAAACGCCGCACCAATAAAACAGCGTAGCGCAGCGCACTGTACCGTCGTGCCGCGAAACAGGGCCCAGGTGGGACGGGACGTCTTTCAGTCCGGCGAAGGTTCCACGTGTTTGTTGTAGTCAGTGATTAGGCAACGGTGAGGTCGGGTGGCCGGTGGAAGATGGGACGCCGCCGCCCCGGCCTGGCGGGTGTAGCGCCTCGCTGTGTGGGTCTGTCCCGGCTCCGGCAGGGTTGCCGGCCCCGTCACCCCAGGGCGACAGTGCCGCGTCTCGCTGTGGGGGGTCGCTCCCGGATCCGGCGGGGGTGAGCCCTCGCCCGTCCCGGCCCGGCGGTGCCGCGTCTCGCTGTGGGGAGTCTGTCCCGGGTCCAATGGGGCTGCGTCCCCCTCCTACATGACGCCGGGAATTTCGCCACATGTGGTGGGATTAAGCACTGGTATATAACCACGCTGCCGTCCTGGCCCCTTACAGACACCCCCTTCCGGCGGTAAGGAGCCGGTCTTGATGGAAGCCTGGTGTAGTGTGCACGTGTGCGATTGAATAGACTGGTACCCACAGCGCATGATTGACGATTGCGTTTGGTAGGAAGTAGAAACGGAGGTCAGAACAGACAACTCACAGTAGGTAAACGGTCTCGCTCCGTTATCGCTGGAAGCAACTAACACAAAGTACGCTCCAAGGGCGTCGCGGCTTGGCCTCCATCGACGATCAGTCGGATTAGTCGGCAATCGGCGCCGTTCTTTCCGAAACCGAGCTTCGCCCCCGAAAACGAATAACACTCAAGTCTCACGACAAGAAATATCACCACCTGCAGCCCACCAATCTTTTTTTTCAGCTCATGCGCATTGCGCAACACCATCGCTACCGGATCTGTCACCACGATGCCCGGACGCCGGCACCAGTGTGGCTGTCGACTACTAATATCCTAAGTGGGGATATTTCAGGCATAAGTGGTTCAGTAAAATCGCTATAAAGTGAAAACCGTTTGATAATTGTTTGTTTTGTTATTTTGCTCAGCTTACTGTGGAATCGAACGCTAATTGTCTGAACGAAAATGACAAACATCTAACGGTTTTCATTTTACGGCAATTTTACCAAACCACTACATAGGTACTGTTGAGATAGCCCCACCTTACCGTAATCCAAAGCGTTTCTACCAACTCTTTAAATCAAATCACTACGACGCAATCTCTGGTCATGGCAACGCACACAAACAACAAACTTAAATTCATTCAACTTCTTCAAACATCATAAAAATCGCTGAACGTGTATTTCTGACGTTCATGCACCGACGTCACGATCTCAGATGAAATATGGAATGCCACAAACCCCTACCGTGAGCTGAACTCCTCAGTCATGCAAATTACACCACCAGCCAGATCATAGACAGCTGATATTCTGCAGGGCTCGTGGCCGGCCTCTGAGCGCACACGCTTCAGAAGCGGGGGGGGGGATATGGGCGGCGCTGGGGAGGGGGTAAGGGGGGGGGGTGCCGGCGTCATCCGGGGGCGTCAAACGGTGACAACAGCGGCCAGTGTCGGTGGCGGCGGACCTCTTCAGTCGCGGCTCCTGGACCTGCCGGGGGACAGAGGCGGAGGGTCGGTCAGAGGGAGGAGACGGGCAGAGGGCACGGGAGGAGGTGGGGGGGGGGGGAGGGGGACACACAGCTGCCTATCACACAACACCGACTCCTGAGCAGAGCGGCGCGGTGGCATAATTGCTAAGTAGTCAAGCTAACGTAACTCCTCGCTCTATTTGAACAAGATAAGAAAATTATTGTCACGGAATATCGAATGGGCAAGAACTAAACAATAATTGCGCGTACCCGGGCACCCACAATATTCACACAGTGAAGTTGCTGCCCAAGAACTGTTCTTTCCAGACACCCTACGAAGCGCGGCGGGATGATTACAGGCATGCAAGGCAAGGGGATGTGACACATTAGCTTGAACGACGAATAGGAATCGTGCAATTGTTGCACCTAAACTGGAAACTACAGGAATTGTTAGTAACTGTTCGCATTCTAAATTTATTTGTGAGCGACAAAGAATGTACTAATCTGTACCAAGGTTCTGAAGTGAAGACTCGCGGCGCCATCGCAGGTGGCAGGTTGTGGGCGGCAACGCTTATCTGCCATAGTCCCAGAAAGAAATGCATGTAGTAAATAAACATACGCACAGTTTATGCCAACTGCCACATCCTTCACGAAACGGTTATCTATTTGCCGTCTTTGACAAATTCTTCACAATATGAGAAGAGCATACGCAAGCTGATTCCACCGCCTAACGCATCGCCAACTCCAAAACACCCACAGCAGCCAAGTCACAGTTGTCTCACAAGCAGGAGCACCACAGGTACGGACACGGGTGAGCCACGAAATCCTGTGTCTCCCCAGCACCACCACCGGACAATCACCCCACGCGGACTCAGTGTCCCAAAACATTTCGATTTGGGTGGGAAACGACATCCAAATAAAAATCATTTTGCACTCTCATCTCTAATATCTAAGAGCAATTTTCCACTTCAGCTTTACTGAGAATAAGCATTTGCATTGGTCATTTTACATATTAGGTACATTTTACCTCATTAAATAGAAATGTATGCCATTGATCTCTTTTCCACTCATTTTGGGCCTTATCTGACTGGGGAATTTTCCACTCTTATCCCCCTTTTTGGAGAGGAATTTTCCCTCTGACACCCAAGCCAAAACACAATTTTGGGACACTGTGCGGACTACCCCGTAACCAAGCCATTCTCGTCCGCCGCGCCCCGGTCGGCCGGCGTCACTCACCTCCTGTAGCGGTCGTAGACGGGCGAACCACGCGGGCTGCGGCTGCGTGACCGGCGCCGCGGCGAGATGGAGCGACGGCCCGGCGACCTGCACCAACACACGCACACGGCACAGTGTCAGACGGCGCACATAGACATACACACACGGCTCCGGTATCGACCGGAGCACTGGCTCACTGACCGTGTTAGCATGGAACCAGAGTCTGCCTCCTGGCACCGGGCCCCATCCCATGAACGGAAAAGGCACCGATATCTCTGAAAGGGCGGAAAGTTAACGAAACACACAGTTTCGACAGTTATATCCAGCTCCTCAACGTCATATAAACCCTGCCAGGAAAAGTAATTGGTCAAGTTATGCTCCGTCCATGCCGAATGCTTGCAATGAAAACACTCTGCTTTGTCACGAGCTCTCAACAACATAAAAAACATGACGTTTATCATTCATATCAGGCAGTCAATGCCTCAAAATCAGAAACAAGTTCCAAGTGCTTTGAGCTGAGCATCCCATCTACGTCGCTGGTGGTGTGCTCACTTACTTGCTTCGACATAAGCGGAGGGAGCGAAGCGCAGAGGAGCGGAGAATGGTGGGCCCACGAAGCAAGTACGTAGCTAATGCGGCCATTAACGCAAACGAGTGACACGACGCGAAGAGGCGATGTGTGAGACGCAAGATGGGGGTGAGCCGAGAGTCCCTTGATGGGCCGGGTCACGTCGCGGGTCAGGGGTCACCTGACCGCGTCACGTGACCCACGCTAGGCCGTGAAGTGTGATGGACGGAGGCAAGGGGTGGTGGTGTGATGGAAATCTGTAAGACGGCAACGTGGCGTCAGACTTTCAGCCGGCACCACGTCCTCAACACAGCACAGCGACACACTTGAGACGGCTCGGCCAGGTCCCACACTCTCACACTACTCTCTCAGTGTCTCAGTAACCAGCTCTCGTCTCTCTCCCGTCCACACACGCCATACACGGACCGACCGACGGCAGCCAGCTCTGTACACACTCACCTCCTGCCACCGAAACCACCACCGCCGTAGCCGCCGCCGCCGCCGCGCATACCGCCGCGGCTGCGGCTCTTGCCGGAAGACATCTCCACACGGACCCGCTCGCCGCACAGCCGACTGGAGAAGGCCAGAGATGATAGATTATACACATACATAAATGAGAACTCAAAATCGTTACACACATTTCATACAATATACAAAACTAAAAGAAGCAGAGCTGTATAAATTCGCAAAGCTGAAAGCCTTATCAGCTTTGTCCCCAGATTCATATAACCCACATGGTACATGAAGTCACAACAATAACATATATGACAGTCAGGCACTCACGTTCCGTCCAGTCCTCGCACTGCGTCCTCAGCATCCCGTGGGTCCTCAAACTCCACAAATGCAAAGCCGGGAGGGTTGCGCGCAATCCACACGTTGCGCAGATTCCCGTACTTGCTGAAGGCATCTTCAATCTCATTCTTGGCAGCACTGTTGCCAAGATTTCCAACATATACCTTGCACTCCAGATTCCAGTTGCGGGTGGCCATCGTTGCTGTTTAGGGTTTACACAGCTGAAAAAGTAGAACATGATAATAAACTGCCAGGTCAACATTCTGTGCAGTGTGCATCTGATGGACAGTTGTCACTTGAAAAGTAATTTAACCCTCGCCCGTATTGGTGTTTTGCTAGCCGCGAACGTAATGGGGGCCGGGGGAAGCCGGAAGGGACCCCTTACCGATTGGCCTCTGATCATTATCGAGCTAGAGCTTCGCGGAAAAAAAAAAACGCGCGTGGTGTCCGTGACCGACCAAAGCAACCTACCTCAGGGTACATAGAAGAACGGCGGCTACAGACGGCGAACGGACGACGGGGAGAAAAATGCAAGGAATAAATAGAACATCCAAGGAGAACGCCGGTATAGAAACAGAAACAATATGGCGGCTATCGGCATATGGTTGCATAAAATTCAACTTTATCTACTTTGTAGCTTTGCATGACGTCATTAGAAATAAATTGTGAATGTTCTCAAAATGACTAAACATAAATTTTTGGGTGTTTCTGAGAAAAACAGATGATGAACAACATTTTTTATAGCATTCGGAAGTTTTGATAAACCTATCTAACTTTGTACAATTATTTTGTTTTCAATTGTCCAACCTGAGGCTGACTGTCGATAAGCACTGGGAGCTCGCTGAGACCGGGCCCCACAGGCCAAATTGGCCTCCCACAACCCGTATACCGTAAGGTAAGGTAAGGTAAGGTAATTGTAATCTGTACTAATTATTTACCTATGATGTCATACAAATCACAAAAGTAAGTTTATAATTGGAAGCATTTAAGAATTTCTAGCGAAGGAAAACTTTATTTTAAAAAGTATAGGGCACTTATTTTATAGATGTCCCATTGAATGACGGAAGTAGTTTGATCTTTGACCGCGTTTTGAAACATAAAGTTAAAAAAAGAGATTTGAAATGCTTTGACTGCAATGCACTCTAACTAGAAATAATAAAATAATGCTTTTACTCAATGCTTTTTACTCATGAAGCGAAGAAATACTTATTTGGTATCTTTTTTGACGCGTCAACAGCATATTTACGTCTGGACAACGAGTTGCGGGGAAAAGTGCTGACTTTGTCGCGGTTTTAGGAGCCGGTGATTAGGCTGGATTTTTGGGTTACTTTTTCGTTCCGATTCATGTATTGCATAGTGTTTGGCTTTTGAATATTTTAGTTCTTTCAGATAAAAATTAGTTGCACTACAACTTTTGTAAAAACGTTTCATTTTTTATAAGCCGACCGTCAGAGTCCTAAAAATACATCAGCACTACAATAATTGTAAACAAACAAATGGAGCACCGCTTGGCTCTGTTCCGTACGTCGTTTTGTTGGATGTTTTGAATCCCTTAACATTGACGTATATCATATTTAAGAAGCATGTTGACTGAAAACAACCCCAAGTATCAAGAAGCCTGACAGCAGACAGAGGTCCTGACCCTGAGCATTAGCAATAACAATATCAAGTTGAACTTGGAAGTTATGAAATTTTGGTTGATAAACGCAAGTTGATCGGGCTCATATTCAGCAAGAAAAAGTAAAATTAAAAGAGCTCATCATTATTGGCCGAAAACAAGCTATAATTTTGCAGATTGAGATCTTGAATCAATACTGAAGAGCACGCTGAGCAGTATCATGCCAGAAAATGTTGACTGATGAGTGCATATTATTGAATGATAACTTACAAGATAAGTTAGTGCTAACTATCAAGTGAAAAATCTAGAATGAATGGACTCGGGCAGCTTTACTATGATTAGATGCTATGCAGACGGTAATGTGCATCAGGTACTCAGTGTCTGGCAAATGAAACATGCGATCATTCCATTGCTACTGGAGGAGAAAGCTTGGATCACTAAATCCACTTTATGTTGATTTTGATGTTAATCATTACTGTATTTCTTGGAAAAAGGATTGTAGTAAAATTGTCAATGTGACAATCCATGGAACGATGTTATCATATGTGTTCATTAGTCATTTGTGATAGTGATTGTTGGTCCAATATACAATGGCAAAGCTGAAAGCTCTCAGCATTTTTTTTCTTCTGTGGATGGCCAGCAGTGACTCAGAACTTAGAAGTATTAGTTTTCTTCACAGGGCTGGGATAAAAAGTACTGAGGGTAATCTTCCACCAAGGAACTTTACTTTGACACAGAGGCGGATCCAGCTCAGAGTTTTGAGGGGGGGGGGCAAACCATAACAATTTATCAATTCTTTCCATGCATCGTCCATAGGCGTAATGTTAAAATTATGCCGTTTGGGGGGGGGGCAAATGCCCATTCTGCCCCCCTGGATCCGCCACTGCTTTGACATGGTACGAGATGCAGGCACAAGTAGGTAGGTGCTTTGTTCCTGTAGTCAGTAATTGTGTAGGTTTAGTTGGGTTAGGTTATATTAGGTTTTAATTTGCCCCAGTGGCCAGTGTCCATAGAAATGTGACCTGAACAGTGTGCATACCTGACTAACCCGACAGCTGACATAACCTCAATCATCATACATATTTGCAACCTAGCCAAGACCTGCATAGCAGTAGCACCCAGTTATAGGTAGGTACTCACCCTAACTCAATCTTACCTGCTAACCTTCAACTTCCCAACAGTAAGCTCATCTTGCCAAGCTGCATCCAGGGTCCAGGGAAACAGCCAAATGAGGAACTAGCTCATTGGGTGGCTGGTGAGAGTCTGTGCATTTAAAGTGTTTCTTCTCTGAAGCTGCTCTGCACTGCTGTATGCCATGTTAGATGCTCAGAAAAATGTGGGAAATGATAACTCAGCTAGTTTAGTGCTTTATTCATGCTCGAGACATGAGACATCAATAAGTACAAATCCTGCGGGGTACAGCTATGAGCTAGGTGAGTATGTTATTTGAATATGCTGTTTGACTGTAGTAAATATACAAACAATCACAGGGTCACAATTATATTCAATCTCCGCATAATCATACAACAAAATGCCCATAGCCTCACTCCGAGCACACAACAAATTGAGATAACTTAAGCCTTTGCAAGCACAAAAATGCTCTGATTTACAGGATGGGTATACAATATATCCTCTGTCCTTGGGGATCTTGCTGCAAAGTTTGAGTTGAAGTAAGATGACTAAACTTCAGGTATTATGATTAACTTTTTCTTCTTAGCCACTGCTTATGTACGAGAAAGACTAAATCAATGAAATGTTTGGTTGATCAACGCCTTGAAAATGTAATGATCCATCTTCAATTCGACATGAAGGCACAAATAAAATAGCTCCCACTTCTCTCTCCTCTTCTCTGATCCAAGATAAAATTGAAATGTGTAAATTGAAATCTGTCTAGTCAATCATGGAAGGAACGGATGAACTTGAGGTCAGGTCAATATGATATTTTGCGATATGCATCAACGTTATCTTGGAACTTTTTTGCAGGTTCGCTTCATATTTTGTAACAAACGCGCATAAACTGCAATAAAACAGCACTATATGCTTCTGGACAAAATACAATAATAGTAAAAACTTGGCCCTGATGGTACTCATTCTCGGCCAAAATCTAATAACAAAATATTTTGTAGTAAGAACTAAATTTCGGCTAAAAACAGTGCACGTTTAAAAAAAGAATCATTCAAATGACGGTCCATTATTGCGGTCCTGAAATCGCCACTATTTCCGGCCTCCCCAACGCGCATATTTACGTCTGGACAACGAGTTGCGTTGGAGAGGCCGGAAATAGTGGCGATTTCAGGACCGCAAGAATGGACCGTCATTGGAATGATTCTTTTTTAAACCGTGCACTGTTTTCGGCCGGAATTTAATAGTTACTACAAAATATTTTGTAGTTACGTTTCTTACAAGAATGAATGCCATCAGGGCTAAATTTCTAATACTATTGCATTTTGTCAAGAAGCATATAGTGCTGTTATATTGCAGTTTTAGCGCGTTTGTTACAAAATATGAAGCGAATAAGCGTCAGTGTAATTCATCAACAGAGTGCCCGAAGTTACCTAACTTGAGGGAAAGCTATGCTAATTGCTCTTGTCCATCCACTAAAATTTATTAAATATTTTGCTTTGTGTATTCCAAAAGGAGAGGGAACTATTCCATTTGTGCCTTCATGTCAGAATTGAAGGTGGATCATTAAATTTTCAACGCAGTTTACAAACAAGCATTTGGTCTTTCTCGTTTATAAGCAGTGGCTAAGAAAAGGTTGATCAATCCTGAAGTTCAGTCATCGTACCTCAACTTGGCAGCAAGATCCCCCAAGGACAGAGGATTTATTGTATACATGTCCTGTAAATCAAAACAAACAAGCATTTGGTCTTTCTCGTATATAAGCAGTGGCTAACAAAAGATTGATCAATCCTGAAGTTCAGTCATCATAGCTCAACTTGGCAGCAAGATCCCCCAAGGACAGAGGATATATTGTAAACCTGTCCTGTTAATCAAAACATTTTTGTGCCTTCAAAGGCTTAAGTTATCTGTGGTGTGTTCGGAGTTAGGCTATATGGCTGTTTTTGTTGTACATATGTTTATGTGGAGATTGAATATAACTGTGACCCTGTGCTTGTTTGTATACTTACGGTCAAACAGGGAACAGCACATTCACATAACATACTCACCTAGCACCTAACTCATAGCTGTACCCTGCAGGATCTGTACTTGTTCATGTCTCGAGCATTAACAAAGCACTAAAGTAGCTTAGTAATCATTCCCCACATTTTCTGAGCATCTAACATGACATACAGCAGTGCAGAGCAGCTTCAGAGAAGAAACACTTTAAATGCACAGACTCACACCAGCCACCCAATGAGCCAGTTCCTCAGTTGACTGTTTCCCTGGACACAGCTTGGCAATGTGAGCTAACTTTTGGCAAGTTGAAGGTTAGCAGGTAAGATTGAGTTAGGGTGAGTAGTGAGTACCTACCTATAACTGGGTGCTACTGCCATGCAGGTCTTGGGTAGGCTGCAAATATGTGTGATGATTGAGGTTAGGTCAGCTGTCATGTTAGTCAGGTTCAGGTATGCTCATTGCTCAGGTCACATTTTTATGGACATTTGGCAAATTAAAAAACTAACAATCTGATCTAAGCTAACCCGACTAAACATACACAACTACTGACTATAGGAACTGAGCACCTACCTACTTGTGCCTACATCTCATACCATGTCAAAGTAGAGTTCCTTGGTGGAAGATTACCCTCAGTACTTTTTATCCCAGCCCTGTGAAGAAAACTAATACTTCTAAGCTCTGAGTCACTGCTGGCCATCCACAGGAAGAAACACTGAGACTGAGAGCTTTGCCATTGTATATTGGACCAATAATGACTATCACGAATGACTATGAACACATAATATGATCACATCGTTGCATGGATTGTCACATTAACAATTTTACTACAATCCTTTTTTCAAGAAATACAGTGAT